TAGTAAACTTGGTTAACTGTTTGTCCAGTTGGTACAAATTCATAATGAATAATCCCTCTGATATCAAAAAAGGTTAGCAACATGGTTATAACGAGTTCGCGAATTTAATTGTCAGACCTCGTACATAGATAAAGGACTGCCCATTTCTGAGTCTGTATGTGTCTCAATTCGTGTGTTTTCTGTCCTGGGTTTGAGCTGAGAGGTAGCGATGGGGCCGGGCCAGGAAGAGAGATAGGCAGACTGTACCTGGGTTGGTAACTGTAACAGTGTGTATGTTCATGTGTTGGAAAGGACACAAAAACTCTGTGTGCTTCAAGACAGGGATGGTTGGGCACTTTTTCTCATTCTTAAATCCTGACACAGCTCTGGGGATTAAGTATGCAAGCCAGGCCTTTCCTAGGTGGTATTCTTCTGAATAAGGGAGGGACTTCATTTATCATGGGCTGAGCGGGCCTGTCCTGCCAGCAGTGGGCATCCTCATCAAGGAGCCTGCCTGGGCTCTCATTTCTGGGTGCCACTCTCTTTAGGGGAGCATATTGCCTTAGCATTACCAGGTTTGCTTAGAACTCTTCAGAATTGCTGGCTTAGGACAGTGGGAGGTCCCACGCTGACAAGGACTCCCTCTATAGTGACTGCATAAGCATCCCCTGCAGGTATATGCACCTTCCTGTCAGGACCTCCCTCCGCTGGGTCCACAAATTCAGCCTTATCAAAGATGGCCACTCACCTTCAGCCACATCTAAGAACGCTGCTGGGTCAAATCTCTTGGCTTCGTGTGACTTGAATGATCCCAGCCCTGCTAAGTCTACCCAGGATATGCGCTGCTCTGCCCAGACCACCTTCAAGGAGCTCAGATATCAAAATGCACCTGCTTCTTGTCAGTCGTGGCTCTGATCTGTGGGAGGAGCTGTTCCCAGACATAATTTGGGAGAAGCACTTGCTTAATCTAGGGAACATGGAATGTGTACACTGCCTATGCACACACACAAACACCCATCGGTTTCCACACTGCGAGGCCTGTACACACAAACCATATACAGGCTGAGCACCCCTCCACACACACACAATGCCTCATTAATATTCCGTTTTTCTTGGCCCATTTGCTGCTGGGGCCTGGTGTTTTGCATCAGCAGCTGTGTTTGGTAGGTTAGTCCAGCCGCGCTTTTGGCATTGATGGATTCCTGATTCACACGACTCATCATATAATAAACTCTCAGCTGTGCTGCAGGGAGGGGCTTGAGGAGCCGACAGAATGAGGCTGGGGTGGGGAGGATGACATGGGCCTGGCCAGTGCCAGGGAAACCACCAGGTAAGGACAGATCGCTGGGGTCACAGGTGCGCTGGGCAGGCCAGAGGGGCTCTAATTAGTCTCGTTTGTCCTGCACTTAATGTCAAGCTCATTAAAGAGGCTACAGAGTTAATCAACATACCACAAATTGGATTTTGAGTTCTGCAGCCAGTTTTGTGTACATTATGGCAACACTGACACGATTAACTCTCAGGGTGAGGAATTTAGGCCAGGTGCTCATGCGTGCACACGTGTGTGTGTGTGTGTGTGTGTGTGTGTCTGTGTCTGTGTTTTCTTTTTTTTCTTCTAAGTTCTTTTCATTCCTTTCCCTGGGCTGACTGGAGATTTCCTATTTAAACTCATTTAACATGTGATCTGTGTCATAATTAAATTCATAAAAATCTGATCAAACAAACCTCTCTGTCTTAACCCTTTGTTTTTTAAACTCTTAGGGCCCCCCTCTGGAGGGGAAAGGCACAGACACTGGTTCCCCCCAGCCGCATGGCTGCCGATGTACGTTTTAATTACCGGCTTCGGCTGAAGTCTCATCTCACATGGCCCTTGCTTGCTTGCTTGCTTGCTTGCTTGCTTTATTTATTTATTTATTTATTTATTTATTTAATCTTAATGAGGATACTGAATCCTTGATTACAGTTGTAATCGTTGCCGATTCAGTAAAGATGGGGAGTTGGATGTCAGGCGGGGCTGTGTGTGTAGCAGTCTACACAAAGAGTGGCATGCAAGCACAGGTGTGCACAGACTGACCCGCACTCTGTTAGACACACAACTAATTAGGACCAAGGTCTTTACAGGCCTCTACTCCCCTTGGGTTGGATGGGGCTGGTGGCTGGGGGACCAGGCAGTATGCACAGCCCTGGCAGTGAGAGGACGGGCAGGTGCCAAGAACCCCAGGGCTCAGGTTCGTGCTCAGATCGCCATGTGAGGGACCCGCTAACTGTGCTTCAGCCAGGGCTGTGCCCCAGAGGTTGGTCAGAACTGGTGTGGAGAGGTAACTGCTCTCTGAGCTTCTCCTGTCCAAATCCGCAATGGAAGTGCCCCCACCCACTCCTCTAAGCCCTCGGTGCTTCTTGCAAATCTTCCACCCATGAGAGAGCCTGCCAGTGGGCAGACCCCAGCATCCATTCCCCACAGAGCCTATAAAACCCTTCAGAGCCATCAGGAGAGATGAGAATTTATGTGGGTTTGGGGGCCTGCGTTCAAGAGCGGGGAGCTTGGGTTCGCGGCCGGAGGAGGGGAGAGTGAGAAGAGAGTAAAATACAATTTTAAAGAGGAAGTGAAGGCATAGGCATGCGAGTCTATAACGAGAAGGACAATTTATGCCCAGGCACGAGCGCAGTTTGACATGGGGATAATGAAAAAACGTAGGTCATTGTGGATGACTTAAACCTTCAGCAGCTGAGGAAAATGTATGAAATGCAGAGGACATTACACGGTTGGCAGCCCCGCACATCTGCAGAGGGACAAGTGAAATACAGTGGGCCATTCTTTACCATAAACTGTGGTTGTTGGAGATGCAGCCCGGAGAAATTGTAATTACAGTGACAAGACGAATCAGCGATATTTAAATATTCATGAACGAAGTCTGGGGTGATCAATCTATCTTTATTGTCTGTGCCTTCTCTCCTGTAATAAATAAGTAGCTGAAGTCCTCACCTTTCATCCCCCAAAGCCCCCACTTTGGGTACAAAATGAAAAATAGTTGACCCCCACACCCCAACCCAACCTCGCACCCTCCAGGGGCCATCAGAGCAGAATGCAAGGAAAGAAGGCTGATGGGCATAGATTCCAGGCCGAGGAAAGGTAGTTCTCCCCCAGTTTCATACACCCAACATTTCCTGGGTGTCTGCCCTGGGTCGTCCCTATGGTGCGTACTGAGGCTACGGGGATGAACGAAGCTCCCTTTTACCTAGAGGTGCTTCCTAGAGGCACGGTGGGCGTAACAGCAGATACAGGACAGCATGTTAATTAGCAACCTGGGAAGTGTCCAGGCTCCAGACTTGAACCAGACCAGAATCTGAATCCTTACCCAGCACTTACTAGCTATTTGATCTTGGGGGCCATGTTTTAAGCATTTCTAAGCATTGCGGGGGTTTTTTCATCTATAAAGTGAGAATAACAGTAGTATCTTTCTTGTAAGGTTGTGCAATGATTGTGTGATATGATCCATTTGAAGTTCTTAGTACAGTAGTGGGCACTCAACAAAAATATGGGCCACTTTAATTAGAAGGTGCCATAAAAATTATACTACTATTATATATAAATATGTACTATTGCCAAAAGAACAAAATGCTAGATTTTTCTTATCTTTGGGGACAGAGAAAAAAGTGTAACTCATTTTGCCTGAAGGACTAAAGGGAAGCTTCCAAGCGGGTGATGTGTGAGTTGGGCCTTGAAGGATGACTAGGAGTTTGCCGGGGAGAGAACAGCTGTGTCAAACTGTGGAGGAGGGAAAGAGCAGAAGGCATTTTGGGGGACAGTGTTCTCATTGTTCTCCAAATTGGAGGGAGTTTTTTGTGGGTAGGGGAGTCAGGCTGGAGTGGCTTTTGGCCCTAACCTAAAGGAAAGGAAGAGAAAGCAGCATGAGAAGCTGGGAGCCAAGGTCTCAAAGCTCCCGGGGCTGTTCTACACTTGTGGGAGCCTGTTTTCTGGGGACTGCTGTTCACATACCTGAACCAAATGGGCTGTCTTTCCCCAAGGCTGGCCTTTGACCCATGGATGACTACTGGGCCACAGTAAAGTATGGACGTGTGTAAACACATGTGCTCCGTGTTTGTGCTATGGGGGCTTGTAGAGGGTGGGGGTCCTTAAGTCGTCTTTGCAGGTGGTGAACGCAGGCAGTCTCATCTTCCTAGTGCACTGCATGTGCCCTCCTGTCCCCAGAAGTGGGGCCGGGGTGGACAAGAACCTGAACCAGCCCCTTGTCCCCACAGGTGACCACCCATACGAGTGCGAGTTCTGTGGCAGCTGCTTCCGGGACGAGAGCACACTCAAGAGCCACAAACGTATCCACACGGGCGAGAAACCCTATGAGTGCAATGGCTGTGGCAAGAAGTTCAGCCTCAAGCATCAGCTGGAGACACACTATAGAGTGCATACAGGTACTGAGGGCCAGTGAGGGCACCTGAGCTGGCTCTGGGACCTGGGTGACGGTGGGGGACAGATGGTTCCCCAGAGAAACTCAAGTGAAGGTGGTCTGAGGCTGAACCAAAGAGTTAGAACGGATCCTGTTAAGGATTAGTATGTTGACTTCAGTGTCACTGCCTCCTTGCAAGGCCGAGGCAGACATTGCTAATCAAGGACAGACCACTTTCCATGAGCCCAGACTAGCCTTCCAGGCAGCCATACCAACAATTAATTCACAGAAGACATGGAAGATGATATCTATTCGTGAATCCTGAATTAAGGTTCTCCAATCAGCTGAAAGTAAAAGTTAGGATGTTTTTTTACTTGAGGGTTAGAGTAAGAATTAGAGGGCCAAGTTGAGCTAGGTTATGATGAGGGTTGAGAAATTGTAAGTTAGAGTTACGTTCTGAGATCAGAGGAGCAGATATATTTAATAAGCCCTCTTCATGTATAATGTTTTGCCATTTCAAAGGGACTTTCCTTGTTTTTTTATGTAAAAGAAATGTGAGGTGCTGTTTTCCCTGGGGCCTGAGGACAGAAAAAGTGGAAATGGTCCCGATGTCTAGAACTGCCAGAGTTGGGGGCAGTTGAATGCTGGAGCTGGCCTGCACCTGCTTGTGAAAGCCAATTTTGCTCATCTCTTCCCAATCACAAGTTCAGTGGCATCACCTGGGTTGCTTAACATTGGCCATGGTGGGAGTATTCACAGCATTGCGATGAGCAAATGCTACAAGACCAGGCTTTGAGGGGAACCAGTTGTTTCACATTTATCACCAGTATGCCACTGGTCGGGGAAAGGTTTTCAGAAGGACTTCCTCTAAGGATAAGAGGTAGTGGAAGGTAGTGGAATTTGGCAAACTAGGAAGCCTCCTCTGATTAGGGGAGACAGCTTTGCTTTGCAGAGGAAGGGGAGAGGTGACCTCTGGGAGGGGAGCGGTGGGCAAAGGGAACAGTAAGCAAAGGATACGTGTTGTCATAGCTCTTGATTTCTTGCCTCCAGCATCAACCAGAAGGAGAGGACGGGGTGCTCGTTGTTGACCATTAGAGAGACCCAGAGGATTCCCCGGAGCCCTCGGGTGGGGCTTCCTTAGCCCCTTGTTGGGGATGTGACCTGGCAGGTGGATCATTAAATGCATTGGCAGTGACTATTGTAAATAGCAGGTCGATAGTTAGATCACTTTGGCTGTTCATTACTTCATTATTTGCTGGGGCCGCTGCATGGAGGAGTATCAATAGTGAGATGGCTGGCCAGTTAATTACTGTATCGAAACAAGGTTCCCTCACACCCTCTGCTCAGCTCCAGGGGACTCTAACAGAGGGGAGGACAGGTAACAGCTAGGGTGTGGCTCTGTACTCCCAGGTTCTCTGTCCCTTCCCCATTCTAGCCCCAGAGGGCAAGGCAGGGTCCAGTATAGGTTCTCAGAGCCCTGAATGATGAGAAAGCCCCAGGTGCTGCATGTTTGAAGGACGGCGTTTCCTCAGTTTCACCCCACCCCTACGCCCCACCACCTGTAGCCCTGAAAGAACTCCATCCCGTTTTTCCCCCTGGAAGGAACTGTGCTGAAGAGCCGTCCCCAAGGATCTTAGGAGTCTCGCTGCCCCTTTTCGAGACCGCCATTTTGTTTCTTAGGAAGAGAAGGGTCTGTGCCTTGGGAGAGTTAGGAAGGACAAGGCAAGGGGTCAGAGCTGGGCTATAGTACCGTAGCCACTAGCTACCTGTGGCTGTTTAAATCAGGGACAGCGAAATGAGATGAAAAGTGTAGGTCCAGGTCGCACGGGCCACATTTCAGGCGCTCAGTTGCCATATGTGACCAGTGGTGAACATATTGGATGGTGCGTCCACGATCATGGGACCTTCTCGTGGAAGGTGCTGAAATAGAGGGACGTTCTCCAAGTAGCCCAAGGGTGCGCTGAGGGCCTGGAGCGTCCCTGTGGCGGCCTCACGCCTCTCCCTCTGTCCTCCTCCCACAGGTGAGAAGCCCTTTGAGTGTAAGCTGTGCCACCAGCGCTCCCGGGATTACTCGGCCATGATCAAGCACCTGAGGACACACAACGGCGCCTCGCCCTACCAGTGCACCATCTGCACGGAGTACTGCCCCAGCCTCTCCTCCATGCAGAAGCACATGAAGGGCCACAAGCCCGAGGAAATCCCACCCGACTGGAGGATAGAGAAGACTTACCTCTACCTGTGCTACGTGTGAAGCCGGGCCAGGCGGGGGCTGAGTGGAAGCGAGAAGAGACGAGTTAGAGCAGGGTGACGTCGAGGAAGGACTGTGCAAAAAAAAAAAAAAAGAAAAAGAAAGAAAAAAAAAAAAAGTAACCTGATAGCTATCAGGCCTTGCTTGGATTCTCTCTGGGGCTCCAGGTAACCTGGATGCCTGGCCACGGCCCCTTCCTGGGGCCTTCATCCCTCCTCTCCTGGCTGGAGGTTGGCCTGAGTTTCTTGGGTGGAGGTGGAGTTGGTTTTGTTCAGCTCAGATGGCAATGTATTTCTCTTCCCTCCACCCAGACTCTCTTTTTGTTTGCAGAAACGGAGACTAGGAGGGGGTGAGGGGTCTTCTGGTCAAAGCCAAACAATCTCTGCCTGCCTTCCTGTTACTGCTCCTCAGAGGATAGGGGCTGAGGAGGCAGAAGGGGCAACCTGCAGATGGTGGGGCTGGGCTGTTGCTGGTTGACGCTCACAATGGCAGCTCTAGTTTGCAGGGGGCGGATTGGGTTGGGAAGGGGCTCTCCTTCCCTTCTCATCACTCAGTTCATCTGTCGCTTGCCTCCGCTCTGCCACATCTGGGTGTCCCCTTATGGTCTTCAGGAGCCTCACGGCCCTCCCCACCTCCCCCAGCTCCTTGATCTGCCTCCCTTTGACTCCTGTTCTCCACTTCTAGGGGGCACCCAGCCCCTCATGGATCTGGCAGGGTCTCCCTCCTCCTCCAGCTCCCTAGTGGGGAAGCCGTGTCCAATCGCAGAGCCCCCACTCCCACCCTTAACTTCTGAGAATATAGAACAATAGAAATGAAATACCCCACTCTCATCAAGCCCTGTCATGAGTGCGATTCCTGCTGAGCTGCTTTTGCTTCCCAAATGGAAAGACAAACAACTAAAGACATATGATCCCACCAAACAAACAAACAGGAATCTCTACCTACCACCCCTAGCTCAGTCCCTAGGAGAAGGAAGCCCTGATAGCGCTTGTTGTCCAAGGGGAGGGTCTGGAAGTCCTCCTCCAGATGTGCCCTCCATCTGTCCAGGGGTCAGGTAGCTGGCCAGGGGAGAGTGCTGTGAGTCTTTCTGGGGACCCTTTGAACCCCCCCAGACCTGGTGAGTTCAGCAAAAAACCCAGGTCCAGAGAGCTGCACAGACATCTTGGCTTATAGGACCCCCCAGTCCGTAGGGCACAGACTGCCTGGCTCATAGGAGCCCCCCACCCCCAGTCCACAGGGAGGAGGAAGAGGAGGAGGAAGAGTTGTTGCAAGNCCCACCTGTGTGGGAGGAGTACCTGTCTCTCCAATGTACTTTTATCCAATCCCAAAGATTTCCCCGCTTTGCTTTCTCCCACTCCCTTAATCTATCACCAATGGATTTCATGTAACCTTTCTCCTTTGATTTTATGTATAAAATAAACTGCAAACTGCCATTTTGCGGAGCATTTTCTCAATCCGTTGAGATTTTGCTTCCCAGCAATTGTCGACAGTTTGGTTCAAATAAACTCTTGTAAGTTTTCTCTTAGGCTGGATATTTTTCGTCAACATTACTTGGTGTAGCTAGGCAGGATTCCAAAGAAGCCCACCCAGGAACACCCTGCGGACCCAGATTCGGTGTTCGGTACCAGCAGGGGCCCATTGTGCCCCACCGGCTCCCTGCTTTGCATCGGGTGAACTTAGGTGAGTTTTTCTTGGAATTCCGGACTGCCCTGTTTTAAGGTAGGAGGCCCTGACTTTATTTGAGCTGTTTTAAAATCCTCGAGGTGGCAGGGTTGAGGTAACCCAGGTTAAGGACAAGAGTTAAGGTAACTCTTGGAGAGGAGAAATGAAATGGGTGGCTGGTTTTAATTTTGGCTTTTCAATTGGAATTGCTTACTGTGAGTCTGAACAAAACTTCTCACCGCATAAATGAGAGTCTGAACTTGTTCAACTCTGAACATAACGGGCATTTATTCTTTCCAGCTCGAATTTCGGGTATTCTTAGGTGACTAAGAATCTTTGTGGAGGTGTTTGAAGGTACCCCTCAAAACGTGCAGTGGCCCCATAGGGAATTCCAACACAACTGTAATTAAATATTGGACTCATCCGGGGATGCGCACATAAAGGCTGGTTACCTAGCGCTCCGAGTCCTCACGGTTGTACTAGACAGCCAGGGAGAGAAACCGAGACACGTAAGAGGGTTGAAGCAACTCGGGAGGTGACAGCCCCTTGGAGCTCAACCCATAGACAGCACACTTCAACCCATTACATAATATCACTAGATATTTGTTCAGACTCTGCAGATCTCAAAAGAAAACTAAAAATTAACATGGGAAATCGTGCTTCAAAGGCTGACAAGCTCCCAGACTCCAGCGCCATTATTCTTCTGCAGACAGATGTACAGTTCCTAGGAGTTTTGCAAGTACTTACGGACATGGAAAGATTTATCTGGAAGTGATATCAACTTAAGATGGCCAAAATGGAGCTCTTTTGACAACTAAATATTTGTGTGCACAATTAGAAAAAGCTGGCTTAAAGGTCAAACTAAATGGAATGGGAGGCTTCCCTCCATTGACAAATAGAAGCCTCTGAAATGGTACAGAGAGATGTTCTTCTCTCCAGGAAGTCAGTAAGAAAATTTTAGAGACTGTCTCTGAACTAAAGGTTTCTGAAACTGCTAAATGCCAACACCCCGCTTTTCCCTCTTCGACTGTCCCAATATGTGCTTTACTTGTCCAGACTTGCTGTCCTTTCCTTCTGTCTCTCTCTTTTCTGCACCTCTGTTGCAGCTCCCTTTGGGAGGAGCTGGTCTTGGGTGGAGGGGAATCCGTGGTTGTATGCAGGCAGAACTAAGAAATCTAAAGATTCCCCCAACCCTTTATAGGACCCTGATGAGTTCACAAAGAAATTTAAAGTAAGTGTTACAACATATAATCCTGGCTTTTCTGATTTATTCCAATTAATGCACCTACTACCGTATTTGCCGGCGTATAAGAACGACTGGGCGTATAAGACGACCCCCTAACATTTCCACTCAAAATACAGAGTTTGTTATATACTCGCCGTATAAGACTACCCCCTCTTCCGCNATTGAGTTCTCAGGATCTGAATGTGGTGGGTGGAGGAGATGGTGTATTGGGGGCACTCCGGAGTCACAGTTGGCTCTGCCCAGGGCATGTACTCTCACTGTGCCCAGCTTCGGTTCAGCCTAAAACACTCTGGACAAGACCCCCGCTTTCTTACAGTTTGTTGGGTCACTGGGGTCTGGGGACCTGTGTTATTTCAGATCCTTGGAACCATGTGACCCCACCTTTGTGTGCATTATCATTGCCAAAATTAGTCTATTTTCCTGGCTGGTGAGGGATGTGCCAGTCATGGTTTTGTTGCGTTGGGGTGGGGTGTTGTTTTTCTGAAAGCTACCTCTTACGTTCGTCCAGTTCTTCTTTTGTCCCCTTTCTGCCTCCCATTCTGCTGCTCTGCTCCCCGCTTCTCCCCAACCTCCCCACCCTGAATTTTGGAAAGCACATTTGCAATATTTGTGTTCACTGTGGGATGGGCCCTCCGTTGCATCTCATGCTTTGTTTGTAAGAGTTTCATTGTTGTCTTTTTTTTTTTTCCTTTCTCTCTTCTGAGAAAGTTGTGGCTGCGTTTTTTTCTTAGGTTTTAAAAAGTGGTTTAGGGAAGCGGTTTTGGGGGAAAGGGTTGTGAGGAATATAGGGAAGTTGGAGGGATGGGTGCTGCTGTGACCACCCCCTGTCCCTGAGCCCCACCCCTCCTGCCCTCCCCTGCAATCTCGTCCACCAAATCTGAAGGCCTTAAAAATGTGTTGGGGGTATATTAACTAGGGGGACTGTGTCACTAGACTGTTCATTGGGGATGGTGAAGGAGGGAGGAGGCTGTTTTGCAACTATAATAATGATTTAGTGCTTTGGAAAGGAAAAAAAGTGAAACTTGAAATGGGTGACTAGAGCAGTTTTGGTGTTTATAATGTGAAAAGAGTGAAATCTTCTGGGGGAGGAGCAGTCTGTAAGAAATCATTATGCACTATTGCTTCCCCCCCTAATCTGGGAAGAAAGGGGGACTCGCTGGCCCTCAGGGGATGTGTAAATCCTAGAAAACAGTATTTTAACAGCAAGTTGTCATTCAACTTTGGTGGGGAAGGGGGAAAAAAAAAAACCCTATTCCATAGACCTAGCTGACACCTCTCACTCTCCCCGACCCTTCCCGCAAAGCCCGGCTCTCCTCCCCTGTTCATAAAAGCTGAGAGGGTTGAGCTAATATTTACAAATTGTAATATTTTTGTAATGTTTGTTAGTTCCTTCGTCAGTTATACAGGACCTTGCCCTTCCCTTTTTGTAATGTGAATAGGAAAAAAAAAACAACCAGAAACAAAAAAAGAAAAAAACAAAACAAAAACAAAACCTACCACCACCACCAACAACAACAACAGAATATCCCTCTGTATGTGTGTACACGCGTGTGCTATTTGTGTGCGGTTGTGTGTTAGACCACGCAGCATTGTTGGAACCTGCTGGTGCAGCATTGGATGGTACTAAGTCAGCACCTGTCTTCCCCCACCGCCCCTGATGGGTGCTAGTTAGGGAGGCAGGGAGAGAGGGGCAGGGCACGGGTTTCTGAAGGGGACTGGATGGGAGGCGGCTATATCTATACTTGCGTTGCTCTCACCTCTGTGCCCACGACGCCCCAGACATCCCGAATGGCGTCCAACGTGTGTGTTTCAGCTTCCTACACACAATGACGGGGATTCTGATCTTGCCAAGACCTTCTTGACCAGGCCTAATGGCCAAGATAAGGCCAGTTATCTGGAAGCTTTCCATGTGCCTGGATCAAAGGGGCTGGGGGCGTCTCGGAGGGTGGAGGGTGCTCTCCCTCGTGGGAGACCTGAGTGTTTTTAATCCCCTTTTCTTTCTGCCACCTGGCCCCTCGGCCACCCTGCTGCCGTTAGCTGTAGTACTGCTGATAACCCTCCTTGCTACTGCCTTATCCAGCATCATGAAACGTGTCTCATCTGCAAAGTCCAAGGTGGTTAGTAGTCCCTTCTCTACGTTCAGCTCCAACAGGCGTGTCCCCTTGCTGCTTTTCGTGACATTTACCCTTCACGCGTGCTCTTTCCCTGTT